TGTGTGAATATGCATGTCTCTCTGTGTGGGAGAAGCGATTGTCTGTTGTTCCTCTCGCTTCTTGCACTGTTTGAGTTCCCTGTAGAGTCTTTGTCTTCAGTTCATCCTTTGCTACAACTAAAAAAAAAGAAGTGCCAGGATTGCACCTATACTCATTTGATCTAGAAACTCGCTGTGCATCAGAATCACTGGAGCTGAAAACGCATAAGAGCTCACACTGTAGCTGACCCTCGCTGGGTTCTCATACATTAACTATGAGTCTCATCAGTCATACGCCGAGCAGGTGGTCCCTGCATTTCCACCCACCTTAAAACTCTTTTATGTATTACTTTAGCGGTTATATACTTTTTCTCTTACTTTGTAAATAGTGCTCACGAAGCACTGGCTCCAAACAAAGCGTACACAAACTGATGCTACGTCAATGCTTGGCAGGGAGAAAATCTAAATATTCCAGCAAAACAGGACAGATTGAGAACATCTTGGCTTCAAATATCAATAGCACGAAAAACACCAACTACAATGCGGTCTCTTGAGGTGATGTTCTCAAATGTTGCTGCCATAAAGAAAAGGAAATGTACTGAATAACGCCTACAACCTATCTCGGAGAGCTGTGAACTGTGGAAACTCCTTATTGATTGGTAAGGATAGGCAATATTGGAAATAAATCTCCTCGTGAACATGGTGGTAAACATATTAGAGTAATGCATACAGTGTTAAACCCATTCTGACCAAGATTACCAATCTAATAAGGATTAGCTATTTGATTGCATGCATGCTGTTTATTTAACCTATTAGTGCCCAATCAATCTGCTTCTAGGATTAGCCCTTAAAGAAACAGCTCACCCAAACCTCTGCCATCATTTGCTCAAGTTATTTTGATAAACGCTGACTTCCGTAGATTTTTTCAACATATCTTCATGTGTGTTTTACCGGAAAGGGAAATGCATGCCTGTCAACCTTCCTGTTTTTCCCGGGATTATCCTGTATTTCATGATTGCATCCCACTATCATCCTATAAAGGTATTTTCCCATATTTCAACAGTATTTTCAATGTTTCTATGAAGGGTGGCAATAAACATCAAAGAGCCGATCCTCCTTATACGCAAACCATACCAAGCAAAACATACCGAACAACCCTTGCTCTTAAACGTGAGTTTGTTCTGTGCTTTAATTTTATTTGGGCATGAAAACACCTTTAAATAAATATAAAAACAGCAGGATTCCATTCCTTTCTATTACAGGTGCCGTTGTATGGAAAGGTTTTGTGCGTATTATTTGGTACAAAACTAATTCCATAAGGTTGCCCCTCCTATGTCAGTTCATGTAGTGCTGTGTGACTGTGATAGTGATAAATGATAGTGATCCATAATGATAAATGGATGCTGTTTCCCATATGGATGCTGTGCATGCGATTTGAAATTGACTGTAAATGGAAACTCTAGGTTTTGGGTGCGTGTTTGAACAGACATATACAGATAATAACAACAATAATAATAATATTAATAATAATGGGCGACATGGTGGTGCAGTAGGTAGTTCTGTCGCCTCACAGCAAGAAGGACACTGGTTCGAGCCTCGGCTGGGTCCGTTGGCATTTCTGTATGTAATTTGCATGTTCTCCACTTGTTCACGTGGGTTTCCTCCATGTGCTCCGGTTTCCACCATAAGTCCAAAGACATGCAGTATAGATGAATTAGGCAAGCTAAAATTGTCCATAGTGTATGCGTGGGAATGAGAATGTATGAGTGTTTCCCAATGTTGGGTTGCAGCTGGAAGGGCATCCACTGCGTAAAATATGTGCAGTTGGCGGTTCATTCCGCTGTGGCGACCCCAGATTAATAAGGGGATTAAGCCGAAAAGAAAATGAATGATAATAATAATAATAATAACAACAACAACAACAACAACAACAACAACAACAACAATAATAATATTAATAATACTGACTGTTTCAACAGTTTATTTACCATTAAACAGCTTCAGATATTTATTTATTTATTTTTATTTTATTTTTTTTATTTATTTACGTATTTATTTATTTATTTATTCTTGGGGAGGGGGATCCCTTATTTTCATCGTATTTTCAACATTTCCAATGTTGACATGTATACATAAAGGTATAAAAACACTTGAAGGTGAGTAAATGCTAATAGCGCAAATGAAGTTCTTTAAGGATATGGCTGTAGGATCAATTCATATAATCACTTACAGTCCACGTCAGACTGTATTTAGAACAATAAAGCATGCACAAATGCTGGAAGATATTCAATCAGTTTGAGCTTGCAAAATTCTGTATGGCAGTGTGAAAAGGGGCGGGATTAAACAAGATGATTAAACATCTTAAAAAGCGAGCGATTGGTCCATATTTTACATTTCTGTCCAGAGAGGTCATGTTTTGATCCTCGGTTGGTGTCACACAGTCAAGTGATGCGATTTCACAGGTCAGAGTTCACCTAGCACGAGCTTGTGTTTCCGGTCTGCAGGACGCCAATTTAACCTATTAATCTGCATCTACAAGGATTATCCCTTTAAGAAACAGGTCACCCAAAACAAACCTGCTACTCAACCATCCCTTGTCACAAACCTCATCAAGTTTCTTATTGTCAAGAAGTTAATTACATTTGTTTTCATGCTAATATGGAAGTCAATGTTTACAAGTTTTTACCACTTTTCAAAGTATCTTCTTTCATGTTGAACCAAAAAAGGAAACGCATAAAAGTATGGAAACACACTGTAAAAAATGCAGCGTTCCACACAACTCGTTCACGTTGTTCCAACACAATTCGATACTTAATATATCAAATCAAAAGTGGATTGAACAAAAACAAACATTATATTTTCTAAAACTATCTCCAGAATTTTGTTGTTTAGGCTAATTTAAAAAAAGTAGTTTGAACTACCAACAAAAAATAAATGTTTGAGAGCACTGGTGAGTAAATGCTGAGTAAGTGTTCATTTTGAGGTAAAATGTCCCTTTAATAATGTAAATGAAGTTCTAGAATGATTTGGCTGTAGGTTTGAACTATGATAACCATATACTCACTCACTCACTAATACTTAAGAGTGTATATAGAAAAATAAAGCATGAACAAATCAGAACACATTAAAGTGGTTCATGCAGGGAACCTATATTAACCTATTAATGCCCCATTAATCTGCATCTACAAGGATTAACCCTTAAAGAAACAGTTCGCCCTAAACAAAACTCTGCTACTCAACCATCACTTGACAAAACCTAATCGAGTTTATTTTGAAGAAGTTAATTTGAAAAATGTTTATTTGCATAGTTAGTTTTTTACTACTTTAATTTAGAAGTTAGTGTTTACAGGTTTTTAACATTTTTCAAAAAATTTTATATAAACAGAAAAAGAAATAGCATAAAGGTAAGGAAACACACTGTAAAAAATGCAGGGTTCTACACAATTCATTCATGTTGTCTCAACACAATTTGATTAAGTTAACGTAGCAAATTTAAGTGGATTGAATATTAAAAAAAAAACAAAAAAAAAAAACATTTGTTTCCCCCCAAAAAATATCCAGAATTATGCTGTACTATATAATTACTCACTAACGCGTTAAAGTGGTTGACAGGACTCTCGCTAATTTAACCTATTATTACCACATCAATCTGCATCTATAAGGATTAATCCCTAAAGAAACAGTTCAGCCAAAACAAAACTCTGCCATTATTTATCTACGCTCGCTGATCAAGTTTCATATTTTAAAGAAGATCATTTGAAAAATGTTAACGTAGTTTGATTTTTAAACTATTATTGAAGTAAATTTTTACAGGTTTCTAACATTTTTTAAAGTATCTTCTTTTGTGTTTTATCGAAAAAGGAAACACAAAGATATGGAAACACATTGTAAAGAATGCAGAGTTCCACACAATTCATTCATGTTGTCCCAACACAAAATTATTAAGTTAATGCAACACATTCAAGTGGATTGAAGATAAAAAATTCCACAATAAAATCTTCACAGTTGTGTTGTTTAAGTACTTTGAACTAGGAGCAAACATATTTTTGAGTGCACTTGAGGGTGAGTAAATGCTGAGTACATTTTCATTTTGAGGTGAACTATCCCTTTAATATTGTAAATATTAGAAGTTAAAACTATTTAATGACCATATCGCCCCCTTAATACAAATTCTACAACAGAGTCAATCACAACACGTTAAAACGGTTCACGCAGGACGCTCGCTCTTGTATTCACCAGGCTTTCATATTTTCTAGCAGTCGATTTCTGTACGCACGCATTAAACAGACATCTCTGATCGCTGTGTCGCAACCTGCTGTCAAGTAGCACCAGTTTAACTAGTTAAACCACCTCTGCGCTCCTTCGATCTGTTTTTGGACGCAAGAACACGTCCTATGTGAACGGCTCCGTATAATTGCACTACAGACACCAATTTGTCGCCCGTCTCCAGCAGCCATGTCAATTACCAGCGATCTCCATATACACGCGCACGCCAGATTGAATCTGCACGAGGAAAACAAGAGTATAATCCCCGGGAGCGCGCGCACGGTGTCACTCAAGGATTTGCGTGCTAAGAAAAACAACTTGCTAAGTACTCTGCGGCTAAATTAAACGGCCACGAGCTTTGCTCAGTGTCCCGTACGAACGCTACTTTTTATCTATTTTTTTTATTGTTTTGTTTTTATTTTTGTTATTTGAGGCAACATAGCATCCTATCGACCGACGAGTGAACTTGTCCCCGAAAACAGCATATGGTAAAAGCTCGTCTAACTTCATCACCCTCCATCAAGCACGGCTACTATTCCGTCAGATCTGCCCGCTACGCTGAATGTCACTGCACAATATGGTAAATTATTCACACTCCACATCCAAAGTGCTTTCCGTTGTTCCCTTCTATTAAATCCCAGCACCAAATAACACAGTGAATGCGTATTAAACCACACTCGAAATCCTCTGCTTCCACACACACGAAGCATGATCTTAAATCACAACGAGCTACAGAAAAAGAAGAAACAACATACCTGTGTGTCCAACCACAAGTCATCCAGAAACGTATTTCCAATTGAGGTTTTGAAAAATAGCACACTGCACTACTTGATGAGCAACAATGTTAAGTGATGCGAAGTAAATCCAATCCCGTGTAGAATATCTATGCAGTACAGCGTCCTCGGAGTTTGTGCATTCCTTCCGGCTGAAGTGAAATCCTGATTTCAGCACCTCCTGGAGTGGACAGCTCCGCGGAAGAAAGAAATAAACTGGAGTGGAATCCTGCGTTTCAGCACCTCCAGGACTGGACAGCTCCGCGGAAAGCCGCTTCTCCGCGCTCGCGCTCCGGGTCTCGAGAGCCACACCAGCGCGAGCCTTTCACCTACTGGCTGCAACCCCGAGCGGATTTGCATACAATAATACAATCAGCCAATCAAAAGCTCTGCTGCAAAAGCCCGACGAGTGGAAACAGCCAGCCGACTTGTCTGAGCTCATCCGTTTAAATGAATTGCCCTTGACAAAGATGAACAGAGTTTGTGCGCAGGCTGTCCTGTGCTCCTGTTCCTTCCGAGCGGCGCAGCGTTTGCGTGATTGCGCGTGCTTGAGGGTACACTTATGTTGTGAAAAGAATACGAGTCAACACTGATTTACTACTAGCTTGTATATATATATATATATATATATATATATATATATATATATATATAAATTAACTAAATAAATAAATAAAAAATCATATGTGGCGTTATGACGTTTTGGGCACGCACATAGGTCTGATCAATGCTTAAAAAGTAACAAAATAAAAATAAAACAATATGAAAAAATTAATAAATAATTAAATAAAATTAATAAATAAAAAAAAAATAACTAAATTGTAAAATATAATTTAAAAATCATAAATAAATAAATGAATAAATAAATAAATAAACAATCGCTCAAAAAAAAAAATCCAAAAAAGTTAGTGTCAATGCTGATTTCTTACTTAGCTTGCAGACATGATGGCGTTCTGGGCAGAAAAAAAAAAAAAAAAAAAAAAAAAAAAAAAAAAAAAAAAATATATATATATATATATATATATATATATATATATATATATATATATATATATATATATATACTATAAATAAATAAATAAATAAATAAATAAATAGGCTGGGTCAGTTGGGGTTTGCATGTTCTCCCTGTGTTGGCGTGGGCTTCCTCCGGGTGCTCTGGTTTCCCCCACATTCCAAAGACATGCGCTATAGGGGAATTGGGATAGCTAAATTGTCTGTAGTGTATGTGTGTTAATAAGTGTGTATGGATGTTTCCCAGTAATGGGTTGCAGCTGAAGGGCATCTGCTCCATAAAACATACGCTGGATAAGTTGGCGGTTCATTCCGCTGTGGTGACCACAAGGGACTAAGCCAAAAAGAAAATGAATGAATGAATAAACAATAATAAATAAATACATATTTGAGATAAAAATATACCCTGCTTTGTTACATAACTTGCATAAAACCATATGTAGCAATGTGGTGTTTTTGGCATGCACATCTACTCTATGTATAAAAAAATATTAACAAAAATAAAATACAAATATATACATAAAACATTTAATGAAAAAATAAAATAAATGAATGAGTGAGTGAACAAATGCATCATAGCGGTTTTTTTATAGGATACCTAAATTTGGGCCAAAACAACCCAGACCTATTAATTTAAAATTCAGTTTTTACAATTCTTGTTTAACAAACTTTTAGTTGTTAAAATCGGCTTTGTAAAATTTAATGAAAATAACTTTTCATTCATCCATTCACTTGCTTTTTGGTTTATCCATCCAATACCATAGTTGGCGACAGACTGTACTAAAAAAGAAAGGCGGGAGGGGTGGTTGGGAGAGATTTCACTGGGGTTTTCCAGAAGAAATAACAAAATACGGGAGAAATACGGGAGACTCCCAGGAAAAACGGAACTGTTGTCAGGTATACGTTACAAATTGCCCTTACATTGTGCTATCAGATGTATAATTTGAAAGATAAAATCCAATATGTTGTTAATAATATTTTAAACATAATCAGCATTAACATTGAACATGGGTGACGTAGTGGCGCAGTAGGTAGTGCTGTCGCCTCACAGCAAGAATGCATGTTCTCCCTGCGTTCGTGTGGGTTTCCTCCGGGTGCTCCGGTTTCCCCCACAGTCCAAAGACATGCGGTACAGGTGAATTGGGTAGGCTAAATTGTCAGTAGTGTATAATTATGTGTGTGGATGTTTCCCAGAGATGGGTTGCAGCTGGAAGGGCATCCGCTGCGTAAAAACCTGCTGGATAAGTTGGCGGTTCATTCCGCTGTGGCGACCCCGGACTAAAAAAGGGACTAAGCCGACAAGAAAATAAATGAATGAACATTGAACATGATAGCGAACAACTTATTATATAAAGTGTTGATCAGCGCCACTTTCCACCAGGAGTCTTCCTGTCTCCACATCTGCACTCTCACATCTATCTTAAGTATCGCTCTGATTTACACACTTATCAGTTCATTCCGGTACCAAAAAAAAAACTTCATATATCTCAGAGGGGGGTTTCATGGAAAGACGACCAAAAATTCAGTCACTTAGAGACATTTTATTTCACTGAGACTAAAGTAAACACTGGGTTTTATGTACACCATTCTACATTTACACACACCAAATATTGACAATCTTCTCTTTCTCTGAATATCCATTCCGTTTTTCTCCACTGTGCAATTATACACAAATATTAATCCAAAACACATCAGCCGTCCCAGCTATCACACTACTGTGTACCATTCATGCTATGCAGACCTCCTGTTTGGCAGACATGGAAAACAAACCAAAAAAAGTTATTATGTTTGTGACGGCACATTGGAGCAAATATCAGCCAGACGATGAATTCGCTTGGGCTCCAAAAGCAACTATAACTCACTCTAATGACTCAACAGAGAAAGCCAGACAGTCAGAGCAACCTTACACAAACAACGAGAGAGAAATTCAGAGAGCATCTAGTCTAAAGAGTAGAAGAGCCAAAAATCTCTGCCGACTGTTGGATTAGCACCAAACCCACAGAAAGAAAGAGAGAGAGCGAGAGAGAGAGAGAGAGAGCATCTCCATATAATTGTTTTCACTACAGACCCACTTAGCTGTCTAAAAACACCTACAGTCAAAATGACGGAGAGAGAGCCCATATGGCTCAAGCTGATAGGCCGAGGAAACAGCACTCGCACTATAAAAGCTCTCACAAAAGCAGAGTGATGCAGACGCAGGGGGAGCAGCGGCTGTATTTAACCACCCACACTATGTAGGAAGCTAATTGCACGGTCTCATTCAGCAGCAGGACACCACTGAGCTTCTCAAACACACACACTCACAAACACACACACACAAACACACACACACACTCATGTAATGTTGTAACATGTAACTTGTATTGGAACTGTTATCAGTGGGTTATGCAATAAAATTACTCGTTGAATATATATATATATATATATATATATATATATATATATATATATATATATATATATATATATATATATATATATATATATATATATATATATATATATATATATATTTACATATATATTATTTTCAAGCTGTTCACTTCATGCATGCATTAAAAGATGGAATATTGAATGGATTGGTGTTTAAACTACTTGTTTAAATTAAGCTGAAACAGCACAACGCTTGAGTTTGTGACAGTTGTTTAATGTTCAATTCAATTAAGTTTGTAAATAGTAATAGGTTAACTTAAATTTTTCCAAATCGATTGTGTGGAACCCAGCATTTTTTTTTACAGTGGTTAGTGTCCTGTTTTTAATCAAGCATTCCATTTGTTTATTTATTGATTTGTTTATTCTAAATCAACATTAATTATTATTATAAAAAGCATATTTAAGTATGACACAAAATGGATAGATGGTTGGATGGATGGATAGATGGATAAATGAATAAAAATTATGGATGGGAGGATGGAAGGATGATTAAATGAATGAATGAATGAATGAATGAATGAATGAATGAATGAATGAATGAATGAATGAATGAATAAATGAATGAACAATTGAATTAATTAATTAATGAAAATGATGAATGGATGGATGGATGGATGGATGGATGGATGGATGGATGAATGAAAATGATGAATGAAGGAAAATGTTGAATAAATGAATGAATGAATTAATGAATGAATTAATTAATTAATGAGTTAAAACTATAAATGAATGAACGAACAAAAGAACGAACAAAAAACAAATGAATGAAAATGATAGATGGATGGATGAATGACAATGATGAATGAATGAATGAACAAATGAAAATTATGGGTGAATGAATGAATGAATGAATGACTTAATTAATGCATGAATGAATGAATGAAAATGATGGAAGGATGGATGGATGGATGATGGATGAATAAAAAACATTGGATAGATAAAAATTATAAATAAATGAATAAAAATGTTGGATAGGTGGATAAAAGATGGATGGATGGATGGATGGATGGATGGATGGATGGATAAAATGATTGATGGATGAATGAATGGATACAAACGATTGATGGATGGATGAATGGATGGATGGATAGATGGATAAATGGATAAAAAATGATGGATGGGAGGATGGAAGGATGAATAAATGAATGAATGAATGAATGAATGAATGAATAAATGAATGAATGAATGAATGAATGACAATGACGGATGGATGAATGAATGAATGACAATGATGAATGAATGAATGAATGAATGAATGAATGAATGAATGAATGAATGAATGAATGAATGAATGAGTTAAAATGATAAATGAACGAATGAACGAACGAACATGATGAATGGATGAATGAATGACAATGATGCAATAATGAATAAATGAATGAATGAATGAATGAATGAAAATGATGGATGGATGAATGAATGAATGACAATGATGAATGAATGGATGAACGAATGAATGAATGAATGAGTTAAAATGATAAATGAATAAATGAACGAATGAACATGATGAATGGATGACAATGAATGAATGAATGAATGAATGAAAATGATGGATGGATGGATAAATGGAGGATGGATGGATGGGTGGATGAAGAAATGAATAAAAAAATGATGGAAGGATGGATAGATGGATGTATGTACAAAAACAACGGATAGATAAACATTATGGATGAATGAATGAATGGATAAAATGATAAATAATAAATAAAAAATAATAGATGGAAGGATGAATAAAAATAAAGGATTGATGAATGAATGGATAAAAATGATGGATGGATGGATGACATGATGGTAAACCATTATCATAAAAAAGATGTCAAAATTTAACAGAATTTTTATATTCACATTGGTTTATATATTTGTACCGATCCAAAAATACTACATTTA